TCCTAATCGTTAGTTGAAAAGTCAACTAGTTGACAACTTTTCAACTAATCGATTTAAAAAAATTGAAAACAACTAATTGATTAATTATCAACTGGATTAACTACAAATAATTGTTAGTTGTCAACTAGTTGCCAACTAACTATTATTTATATTAATTAACTAAATAATATTTAATAGTTTTATATTAAAAAAGGATAACGTGTATATATGTATGTATGTACAGTGCAGTAGATCTAAACTAACTTATTGGAGATAAACTAAAACATGCTATTATATATACATTGTTTTTTGCTTATTGTTTTTATGCAAAGAGATTGTGAGTTCTAGTTCCTTCACTTATGAGATCGAAAATTTAGGAAATTTATTTTTGATATGCCACTTGTTATAGAGATATTAAAGTTTTTAAATTTTCACATATGTACATACATACATACGTATAAAGTAATTGTGTTACATGGTCTTAATTGGCAATTGGTTAGAATAATGAAAGTTAACATATGCATAGTTTACGTACACTACATATGATTTCACATAAGCTTATGATAATACATATAATTTTGCATGAGCTTATTTAACATGCATATGATTTCACATGATTTTTATTAAATTTAGTGAATAGTATAAAAAGAAAAAAAAACTAGGAGGGGTTTTTTTCAATAAAAGCCATTGAAATTTTTTTTTATTTTGTCGTTCTCATAACCAATATGTGAATTAAAGATTGGTTGTTATTAGTAAAGAAAAGGATGATACAAATGGACACGCCATATGATAAAACCTACCAGTTCATTCCTGTGATATTAATTGGTTTTTATATAATTCAAACCAGATGAATATGCAGTTAAATGAATTACATAAATTAGTGTTAGTAAATTATAATATAAAGAAAAATATATTAACATTAATAATCAATTTGCTTACGTTGATAAAAATCATATCGATTTAGGCCTGGATATTAACTTGTATAGAACTTGTTTTCTTGGTTTTATGATTTGAAAGATGTAAGTATCTTTAACACCAAAAATCGAATGTTCAATAGTATAAAAGGGTAATAACAAAGAGAGAAAGGGGTTTTGCTATTTGGTTATATATTGTAAAAGGTTTATAATGAATAATTCTGATAATAAATTTAATTTTTTATCTGGCCAAGATGAAGAAAGTGATGTTGAATTATTAGCTTTAACATCTACATCTATTCCAGCTTTATCTACTTTAGCTTTGTCTACTCAAAATACAAAGGTTACTAAAAAAAAAAAAAATGAAAACACCTAGTAGTTTTGTTTGGAAGTTTTTTGAAAGATATACTGCATTGGAATTATTAGATAATAAAGAAGTAGAAGTGGAAAAGGTTTCTTGTAAATTTGAAGATTACGATACAGAATATATATGGCTAGGATCAACTAGTAATTGTATAACCTATCTTCGTGATATACACCAAATTACCAAAGAATCACTTAAAAATACATTAGTAAAAGCAGAGCAACAAATGATTTACCAATTAATTTCAAGACCTCATTCTTCTCATGTTCAAAAAAAGCTTACATATCAACTTGTGCACTACATAATTGCATATGCTCAGCCTATTTCTATTGTTGATGATGATGATTTTAGGCTTTGGACAAAAAATCTTGATCCCCAATTTAAAGTTCCATGTGTTAATACTATTAAAACTGTTATATTTAACTTCTATGATTTTGCAATAAATCAAATTATAGATTTTATTTCGAAAACATCAGATACTGTTTCTTTAACCTTTGATCTTTGGTCATCATGAGCACATAATAGCTATCTTGGAATCACTTGCCACTGGCTTACAGATTCATTTGATTTGCACAAGATCGTACTTGACATTGGAAAGTTAGATGAACATCATGCATCTGATATTGTTAAATCTGTTAATTCTGTTCTTAATAAATTTAAAATTAATTGTCAAAACATTTTTTTTATTACTACTGATAATGGATCCAATGTCAGGTCTGCAGTGCAACAAATGGGTATTTCTAATATGAAATATGCTAGGCATATGCTTTAATTAAGTGTCAATTTAGGTTTAAAGGAAGTTGATGAAATCATTTCAAAATGTAAAGTACTTATCTCAATTTTATCAAAAGAAAAAAAATGTAGACAACTTCATGAAGCTTAATTACAGATTACTCCAGGGCTTAAAGAGCCACTTGATGTTATTAAAGACATGAATACACATTGGAATTCTACTCTTTATGTTATTGAATATCTTGTATATTTAAAACCTGCTATCATACAATTATACTCAACTCTTACTAACTATACAATTAGGGAGGTCAGAAAAGAAGCAGAAACCATAGGCCCTTATATTCCCTTTTCAGAAGAATTTGAATTATTAGAAAAACTTATCAAAGTTCTTTTTCCTTTTGATGAAGCCACTCAATTTTTAAGTAGATCAAAGTATCCAACACTGGGTTTCATGACACCAATTTTGGAAGAACTTGCTCGTCAGCTTAGATATTTTATTGGACAAAATAGTATAGCAATTCTTGTTAAAGATACAATTTTAGACAATTTAATTGAATGATGAGGTGATCTAAATGAAATAGGCATGTGCTGCTCCTTTCTTAATCCACATTTTAAAAAGCTAAATTTCTGCACTAGTGCTTTATGGCATACAACTATTCAGAATATGCGTCAACAATTTAATGAGCTATGTTTAATACAAACCTTCAATAATAATCTAACATCAACTAATGATAATAATCCATCTTTAACATCTTTATATCAATGTAAAAAAACCAAGATATCAGCATTTTTTATGCATTTGCATACAGAAAACTCTAATGTTGAGCCTGATGAATTTGACCGATATTGTGAACTCCCCTCAATTGCTCTTGATGAAAAATCTTGTCCTTTAGAATGGTGGTGTAAACACAATATCTTCTTTCCTACTATGGCGATTTTAGCAAGAAGATATCTTGCAGTACCAGCATCTTCTATACCATCAGAGCGCCTATTTTCTGATGCCAAAAATCATATAATGGATAAGCATAATAGACTTGATCCAGATTTTTTGAACAAATTGGTATTTCTTAAAAAAAATATGAAATCTATT